CGCGGGAGCGCGGCGCCGTCCTTCAGTTCCGTTGTCGGCCGCTTGGTCGGTGGATCGGCGTCGGTACCGAGTGGAGACGGGATGCGCACGGCACTGCAGTGAGGTAACGGCGCCGTGCGGGTCGTGCGCAGCGCGGGCTGCGGGGGTGGTGCTCGCCTGGCGGTCGGAGAGAACCTCAGTAGCGCTCGGCACTCTTTTAATCGGCGTCCGTCTTTTTGTCGCTTTTGTCGTGATTATTGTATTAATGTTGATGTCGCGGTCGCCATTGCGCGCTCCCGGGACATTCCGCCTGCGGCAGTCAAGCATGGCGCGTCTTAAAAATGCAAGGTTAACTAACCAGGTTAGCCTGCCTGTTTAGCAGTCCACTGGCTTCTCCGTACTGAGGTTTCTCACGCGTACGACTTATTTTATACTAAAATGCGCTCTGAACGCGAGCATTTCTGTGTCGGCGGGTCGTTCGGTTGCCAGTCGGTGGACTGGGTGAGCCGGCGTCGGCCGGAGCCTCCTCGTAGACAGGCCGGTGTTGTTTCCGGCTTTTAACGCGTTAAAACGCCGAAAACGGGGCCGCGGATGCCGCGTGGACTGAGACTGCGATCCGGGCTGGAACGTGACCCGGGTATAGATGCCCCCTCCTTGGGGACAATGAGTGTCGAGGGGCATTTGGGGCACGTTGAGCCGGGGGGGGGGTCGGTCGGAGTGCCAGGGCTACTACGGTATCTGAGTGTTGAGAGATGGGGCAAAATTTTTAGTGCCTTTCCTTTTCCCTTAAGAAACTAATTCAAGACTCATGTCTGGCTTCATAATAATCAGTCTTTGCTTTTTCTGTATTCATATAGGTCTATGCACAAGCACATCATTACTCTGTCTGTGTATGTATCTGGGTATTGGAGACCGAAACCTCCCTAAATGTTGATCTTTACTCATCAAAGCACATCTACTATTTATATATATTTTTTGGTTGGTTAATTATCTGCCTGCACATATAGGTCTGTTTGTCTGAAATCTAATCACTTCTGTTGGTTTTATCGGTTAAGATCTCAATCAGTGCATTGCATAATTTCACACTGAAGCCGGATCCACAGTTGTTACTCCTGTGGAACTGAGCTTAGATGGCGCTGGATAGCAGACCGGGCCGAACACAAGGATTGTGTCACTGAGCACTAAGAAGTTAGGTAGAGGACACAGGGTGCTGCACGGTTGGTGTCTTCAGGCTGTCACCTGACCGTAATGCCTTTGCTATTGTGCTAAGTGCACACATAGTAAGGTTTCATGCAACAAACCATGCTTTAAATGTTTATTTCTCTTTTGAATAGACACCAGGGCCTTATGTGTCCAAAGGGCATTCGCATTTCCGGACGGAGAAGTACTCTCACTCAGTCCTCGAATGGATACAACAGCTTGGGTCTGGTTTGACTCGTAAACATTTATGGTTGAAAAGACACTTGGTGCAACTTGTTTATGGTTGTTTTTGCAGTTTTTCTTCATTGTGGAAGTGAGAACTTTTTGTAAACAACCTTCCCTGAGTCGTCACGGGCACATGTGACAGGGAGGCACCAAGCATTCTGGACTGGTGAAGTGTCGCACACATCATTGCTGTTAAACGTTTCATACTAGGGGGCAAACGTTTGTCATTTAGAAACTGTGTGGTGGAGTTGTGGTATTTGCCTGTCTTACTATACTGGAAAATGACACTGTCCCAGATATTCTGCTTCCATTGTGATCCATGTTGTCGAACTTGTTTCTGAAAATATTAAATATGTTGAAATATAGCACAGTTATTGACAATGAAGGAAGGTGCTGTGGTCTCCTGTGGCACTGACAGTTTTATTTGCGCCTCGGTGTCTGTCCGTCCGGCCCAGTCCCTCCCTCTGAAGTTCCCCAGTCCAAAAATGTGCTTAAGTTCATTTCCACTCTGGACACCCTGTGCTAAGCCAGACTCTTGCCACACAGGACCACTGTAGCAGAAGCGATGAGCCAGAGGCTCCCCCACTGGCTCCTATTATAAAAGGCTGCATTTAATGTCTTTATATGATGGATGATGGCTGCTACTGATATTTGTATCTCCTCGGTATTCAGGATGACAGCCCTGGTGATTGAACACCACAGGCGGATATAGGCACACACGCACTGAAATGTATGTCCTGTTATTCTGCTTTATTTTGAGGCTCCCATAACCTTTTACACCCATAATACTGTTAGGATGAATAATACAACTCAATGGCAATACAAAGCTGGCTCTATTTAAACGAGAGGTTATTGGATTGATCATACCCTCACATACATATTAGCATCCATCTATCCATCCATCCATTTTCTAACGGCGTTTCCTGGTGTCCACAATGCCCAGATTAAAATTGACATTGTTTGGGCGGCGTGATACTGGCTGCAATATTCTTCGACTCAAATCGCTTTGAGCTTTTTATTGGGGTGTCTTTGCATTTTCATACAGGCTATGAAACGGAAAGTCTTTCATTGTTAAAAGGAAAGATTTAGTGCAGTTTGAATGAGTAAAACTATAGCCCACAGCCGCCTTTGTGTTGCTGCTGTAATCTGAAGCTACATGACTGCATCACTTTTATTAGACGCTTCATTTTTACATTTCCAGGGTTTTCACAATGACAATAAGCTGTTCTCTCGCAGCCAGATTGATTGCGTGTTTTACATTGGGAGTTTTATTAACCACAAGACCACAGTGTGCTTAATCTTTCTTCTTTCCTGGGCCCTCACAGTCAGGTTTTGGTGGTGCTTAAAGCAGCGTTATTATCAATGTTTAATGTAAATATCTTTATCTGGAAACGGGCTGACCCAGGAATCCACTGTCTGCTTAGGTGAGCAGCTTCTGAGGCTCCTGTCATACTTAAGAATGTGACCTCATGGGGGCGCTTTGCTTTGGAGGCTTTAGTCAGCTACACTGACCAGACTCACATTATACTCATTAAATACAATTAGGATATAATATAATAAATGAAAAAATAGGGGGTGCTCCTGTGAGATTTGGTATCGTTTACTATTCCCAGGTTGTACTGTGGCTCTTTTCTGGTTTCTCTGGAATGTAACGTTTGAAGTTCAGCATGCTCATCCCTCCGGCCTCCAGGGACTCCCTTAATCCACTGATCTTGTGCTTGACCAACTATGAGTTTCATAGTCTGGGTTGCTTGTCCAATAGCTAAGTGTAGCCAGAGCCACTGCCTCTTTTTTCCACCCCCAGTAAATTTAACTATATATATAAACTATATATATAAAGCTGGTCCAGGCTTTGATGTATGCACTGGTTTTCCATCACTTGGCTTGGCTGGTTCTTCGTGGTGTGAAGAGGTGAGTTCTCCTTTGAGAGTGAAAGACGCCCCCCCCCCCGGGTGTGTAATAACCTGTGTTTATAATGTGGGTCTTCCTATCACAGGTTCAGGGGTGGGGGTAACGACCTTGATATCAGTGACACGGCGCGGAGCCTGAACGCTGTCCTCTGTTCTCCCTTCCAGTCATTTTGTTTTTAAGGTTTTCTTTATTTGCCTTTTGGACACTGGAATCCTCTGGTTTCCACATACCCCGTCTTCCTCTCCAGTACAGACACGGCTTAGTGAGGATCATTATTTTGATTTGTGTTCCCGGTGACACATGTGCTTATAAGATCCTGCTTCTGTCGAGCCAGTTCATTTCATGGTTCAGATATTAGCCAGAAGGGTGACGTGTTGTTCTGGAATTACGTTAGTGAGGGTTTTGTAATGATGATTCTTGATTTTATTTATGTATGCTAGACAGGTTACTCTGAGGTGGTGTTTTTGAAATTGAAATTGAAATTCCAATGTCTTAAAGGAATTGAAATTGTTTGGCAGTGGTATCAGAGTTCCTTTGTGGTTGTCTGTAGTGTCAGTTTTGTGCTAAGGATCAGCAACAAGTCACTTCTCTCTGATGAAATACTAACTTCCTGTGGCCTGGATATCTACAGCCAGCATTCTCACAGAGATAACAGCAGCTGGAAGGGTAGCGGAGGGTGTGCTTCTTCAGGATATGCAAGTGTAACCTGAAGGTCTCTAGCTTAACACAACTGGTAAGGCCAAGTTCTGCAGATGTGCAGCCTTCCTGGCAGTCTTGTCCACCCATCGTTTTATTTGGAGGTATGGAATGCCTGCAGAGTCCAGCCTACGCACATGCATATTTTGAGCTTTTATAGTATGGCTGCTTTTACGGAAAATGTTACCTCAGGAATTCTGGCATTGGTCACCATTATCTCTTAGCTAGGCGGGACTGTAAATGTTTACTCGTGTAAAACGTCAGTGTGCCAAGAGTCGGTCCTCAGCTTGGGATCTCGGTGCCACGCAGACCTGCATCTCCTTATCGTTTTGTGTGACATCTAGGATTAAGCAGGATGACAGATACCTGTCACTAGTGAAAAAAATCTGAGCAACCTGTTGAATCGTTTTAGGGGAGAATAAAAGGGTGGGATAATCCATTAAATAAGCGTTCAGTCTTCTGTTTTGTATCTCAGAGCAAAGAATAGGTCTCGTTTGATGTCCACTTGGTGTCCATCTAAAGGTACCCCCACGTCCTCTGTGGGAGTGTGCTTTGGTTTAACGTGGCGGTGCAGCAGTCGGCTCGCTGGTGCACACCTTGAAAGCTTCTCTTTAGTGTGACTGAAGGCCTTGTGCAGCAGAGCAGATGGTGGACACCTTGTGCTCTGCCATGTGAGAGTCATATGAAGGATCTGCTGCGGCCCCCAGCTAGAGCTCCTCAGCACATGACCTGGAAGCTGAGCCAAGAATGTGGGCGATCCTGGACCTGGAGAGAGAGCCTGCAGCCTCTCGGTGATGATCAGCCAGTGAGACGTGCTCCTTGTGTGAATCTGTGTCTTTGTGAATGTATGTGTGGATCTCCTTTGGTCAGACTTTGTCCTTTGGTGCCTATCGTTGACCAGAAATGTGACCGGTAGCTTCCCTCATGATTTCGAGTTAGGTCCCCGCAATGTGGGGATGTCCTGTCCTTGCTCAGGTATGCTACTGCTGCTGTCTGTTTCTCAAGTATTTATCGGCTTTGCTAGGATTAGGGTTAGGTTGTGTAATGGTACACAAAGTGCATGGTACTGTATAAATCTCAGTTTTGGGTTCCCTGTTCATTGTAATTTTAGTACAGCAGGGAAAACATTTGTATTGTAGTTATTAAAACTGCAGACAAACATAATTAGGAACTCTGTAAATCCAAGGCAATGCATCTGAATAACAAAACCTAAGAGACTCTTATCTGCACATTGTAAAAATAGTTCAGTTTAAATGCATAACATCAAAACAATCAGAATGAAGTAAATCCCATCTTCTCTATCACTGAATATGGTAGCATATCTGTAGCAATAAATACCCCAAGTTGCGTTTACCTTTTTAGCTCAGTCTGAATTTCTTGACAGAAGTCCCTTAAATGCCATGGGGAAACTAATTTGCAGAGATGGTGTCCACCTTGCTTTGGTCGTACAAACACTCGGATGATGTCTCAAATGACCGTGAGAAAATATCAGAGTTTGATGTAGCAGAGCTGACAGGCAGCCTTGGTCTTATCGACTCTCCATTGTTGATGGAATTTATTGGAAAACTAAAAAATTTTCAAACCACTTATGACAACTGATTTTGACCATAATTAACCGTAACCAACTCGGACACAATTAATAAAAATGTAGCATAATGTTTTCCATGTTGAACATCTGCTAGTAAATTTAGGTTCCACCTGTGTCAGTAAATGTTTACATTCTTTTCATTGTGCATAAGAACATAACCGAACCGACAGTGATGAAACTGAGTGCCGCACGACACATACGCATATTGTTACAGCCCGTTACTGACAGTGCTGTGACTGTGCTATTCAGTGTTATGAGAGAAGGTAATCATGCTTTGTGGTATTGTCATGTGCTTGGCCACCCTGAATATGGTGTCTTTATGGTTTTATAGAACTCCCATGTGCCAATTTACCCAGAATGCCCTGTGATCATGTTTTCTGGTATGATCCCATCCTAGTTGGCTAGTTTTCCTAGAAACTAGCATCCCAATGGCAATATCGTTATTATTTTGTTACTTACAATGTGGTGTTGCTGGTTTTGTTTGGGTGAAATAACTCGCTATTGGATTTGCAGAACCTAGCCCTTTCTCTGTTTTTAATTGGCCGAGGCATCCTTGTGCTGTTTTTCTAAGTAATAGCAAGCCACATTCTGGTAGGAAACCAGATATAATCTTGTGACAAATTGCTGACATGGTCATAATTTTGCAATTGTAAGCATTTTAGGTAACATTGTTCTTCAAATGTTACTTTCCAGTTAATTGTGCTGCTTTGTCACATTTATGTATTTTTATGGACTATAACAACAAGGAGTGTGACTTGATAAACATTTACTTTTTTGTGTAGCCCAGTCATGGGCAACTTACAGATATTTGCAGTTTGCAATTGCATAGAAGGAGTTCGCACCTCTAATCTCACAAATCAAAAGCATTTTATTAAAAAAAAAATTTTTTTTTGAAGGAGTGGTTTAAACAATCGAGGTATGTGGACCTCGTAGGATGATAATCTCTTAAAGATGGTCATTCGAGTCAGATGTTCCAGTCAGTTCAGGTTTGAACTAAGAACATAAGAAATTTACAAACGAGAGGAGGCCATTCGGCTCATCAAGCTCGTTTGGGGAGAACTTAACTAATAGCTCAGAGTTGTTAAAATCTTATCTAGCTCTGATTTAATGGAACCCAGGGTTTTAGCTTGCAGTATTAAAAAAACACATACATAGAAACAGGTTTGGTTGCCTGCTCTTGGCCCAATTAGAGGTAATTTAGAGGACCTTGAAATGGAACTGGAAGGGCTTACAGAAGCATTTCTAAAGACTATCAGTTCACAGTCAGATGGGTAGTATACAACTGGAAGATATCCAGCACTGTTGCTGCTCTCCCAAGGAATGGATGTCCTTCAAAGATCAGTGCAAAGGTGCATCGTGGAGTCCTCTAACAAGTGACAAAGAGCCCTAGGGTGATAGCTAAGGGTCTCTGGAGGCTCCTCTTGCACTTAATACCAGTTCATGAGCCTCCTGTTAGCAAAACGCTGAGGGGAAATAAGTGGTACCCATGAGCGGTTACCTAAGAAAATGTGCTGTAGACTGGATGTTCCCCAGCAGTGAACAGATCAGACAACAGTTGAGCTTTTCGGTAAATGTACAGCGTGATATGTTTCATGTAGAGAGGGAAACACTTGCCAAATCTAGTGCCAGCTGCAAAGCCTGGTGGAGGGAATGTAATGACGCTAGACTGCTTTGCTGCCTCAGGGTCTGGAAGGCTTGTGCTCATTGAGAGTCCAACAAATTCCAATTTTTATCTGGGACTTCCACAGCAGAATGTCAGCGTGTCTGTGGTCATGCATCATTAAAAGAGTTGGTCAAACTGAAGGCCATTCATGTTTCTGAATGACCAAGTTAGTCCTGGTGTCTGTCCCACCTAAATGCTGAGTAATGCATATCGAATATTGCAACAACCAAGAGATGTGTTCAACATTTCTTCAAATTTTATTTTCTTCAAAATAACCCCCTTTTGCCTCAGTAGAGTAGACTGTTGGCATTCTTTCAACCAGCTTCCAGATATAGCTACCTGGAATGCTTCTCCTACCCTGCTTTTACTTTTTGATCCAATTGATCCTAAACCAGCTGTGTAGGGTTTATGTCAGGGGATTGTGGAGGCCAGGTCATCTGTCACAGCACTCCATCTCTTTCCTAGTTCACATGATGATACAGTACTTGCAGAACATCAAGATGTGCAGTAGGTGTGTCCAAACTTTTGACTGGTAGCTGAACTGAAATAATGTGTCGAGGAATGGGCCAGAATTTAGCCACTGCACAGCTCTGGTCAGCAGATTCCAAAAGTCTCTGAGTTTATTGCCGATAAGAATTTCCACTGGTTACCAGATACCTGTATGAGTGTTTGCAAGCTTTCTTTATAGATTGTCTAACATGAAGATCAGGTCTCATTATCTGAAGCATTCATGAAGAAAACTAGATAATTGCACAGGTTTTGCAAAACTTTCACACCCATTTGTAGTAATTGTCACTTGATAATGGTTATGTTAGTGGGTGTGGCTGTCAGAGAGAGTTTACGTGCACAGGGGAAGTTCTGACCTTCGAACCCGCTCTCAGATTAGTACTGTTTCACAGCTTGCAAGCCACTATCAACATTTAACCTACTTACGAATGGAACATCATCTCCTGCCTACTTGTGTTTCTCTACACTCTGACCTTAAATAGCCACATTGCAGAAGACAGAGGTACGTTTCTGGCAGTGTTTTTTTGGAAAGGAGACCGCAGATTGTGAGGAGAACCGGCAGGGCCGGCTACCCGTATGGTTTCGGTCAGCTGTGTTTATTATTTCTGATCTGCTTGTGACCTCGTAAGCAGAATGAGTTTGTGGGTGGTGTAAACGCCTAAATAAGAATCGGCTTGAGCCATGTTTCAGTGAAAATGAGCCCTATAACAGTGACTGGCGCTCATTTGGCAGCTAATGGTGTTGCTTTTTGTGATCGCTGAGCACGATCGACTTCTCCTGACTCCCGTGACCTTCTGGACAAAGCCGGCCATTGTGAGCACCCTCTAATCGGACCTTCCTCATAGACCAGTTTCAGACAGCCGCCTGGTAAATCATGTGACGCAGCCGGTCCAGTCCTAGTGGTCAGGTGGCTGTACTGCAGCATGGTGGTGATGTACCTTCAGTCTGTCCTTCAGGTGCTCCTGGGAGTGTAGTTAGGCAGGTTTTTTTCTTCTTGTTTTTTATAAGTTATGCAGTGGTTTGCATTTAAATGATCCGCATCAAAGTCGTCGTGACATATTGGAAAAAAGAATTGCCCGGGCATGTAAATTGTGAGAAATAATGTTTTGCATGAATTTTATATAGTTCACTAATTACTGTTTTGGACTTAATATTTATATAGTGGTGCTTGGTTTCTGACAAGCTTTTGGCTGCAAATAGAGAAATTTTGAAATGCATTTGGTGAAGGTGAACGACACTGTTCAGGAGTTGTTTACATTCAGCTACAGTCGTGTGGCCCTCATGTCACAAAGCTGGGAGGAGACAGGGGAGGGGGATTGTTCTGGGAATGGCAGCGTGTGTAGGGCGAGGGACAGTCTAGAAGCATTTTATTTTAAGGGACGGTTACATATAGGTCACCCTTGTATTATCACCTGATCTCTCCCCACCCTCGAATAAACCCCCACATGCTCTGGCTTTGTAATCTGCCCCGTAGCCTTTCATCAACTGCCAGTGCGCTAATTAGTAATGGTTTAATGGTGCATTCCATTTTAACTGGGAAGTTAGAATTTCAGAGTTCATGGTTAGAAGTTTCAACTGGAGTGGAAGTCTGAATTCTGACTAGGTAAACTCAGAGGAACCTCTGTATCAACAGAAGTGAAAGCTGTAATTATTTACTATTTATTAGTACTTATGTCCTAATTGTTTCTCATTAAATCAGCTGTACACAGAGTACTGTCCAACCTCTGTGGACATGTTACAGTATTTGTATGCGCAAAATACCGTACAACGTGTCGTTATCAACTGGTATTGCTAACAATGGGCAACAATGTCTAGAACTAGTATTGCTGAATGACATTCTGGTTTGTTGTATTGGAACATGGTAACTTGGGAGTGACATCATTCCCAGCTCAGAGGTCTTAAGTCATGCTTTGGTCGCCCTGGTGTCTGGGTGCCCCATGATGACCTGACACAGGCAGTCCACACTTTCTGAATAAGTAAGGGCTAGAAAAAGCGATGTGTGAGTGAAAGGGCCGTGCCGCTGGGATGTGCAGCACTTTGCTGATAAATAGGCCTGTTGTGGGCTGCCTGCTTTCCTGCTAATAATTCAGCCTTTTCCCAACGACGAAAAGCTGCTGTTAAAATTATCGTCACATGATAATTCCAGAAAATATAGGTTATTGTGTGTATATGTGAGTGTGTTGTGTGTTTTTTTTTTTTTGTTTTTTTTTTTGGGTATCCCTCTGAAAGTGTAGCGACTCCAACAAAGAGCATATTGATGGCAGACAGGGAGCCATTTGTGTGGATGAGAGATGTGGAAGGAGGGCGAGGAAAGGACAGATTTCGTTTGTCAGAGGTCAAAGTTCACGCATTCAAGTTTATAAACAGTAGTTTGGAGCATCGGAAGATTAGCCTGAAATTGAGCAATGTGTGAAAGCCAAGCGTGGAGCAATCAGACGGAAAAGTACTGCGCGATTTGAAGTGAGTACTTTACAGGCGCTGAGACGGTCTCTTGGGCCGTGCTGTTTCACCTGCGGTTGGCGCTGTTCTCCTGGCTGCAGGAGCTGCATGTTGTTCTTTAAGCTGCATCTGCCCTGTTCATGGTCTCCTTGGCTGACGGTCAAATGAATGAAGCACTGACTTCTACCCAGGACCCAGGCAGGGACTGTGTGTGAGCTAGCCTTCAATTCAGTCAGTAGTAACTTATTATAATGGTGCTTAATGCTGTTTCCCGTGGAGTGTTTTTATCTTTGTTCCTGTCTGTCTTTTCATAATACAGATGCTCCTCTCATTAAGATGGTTCGTCTTGGGATATTTTGACTTTACGGATATGTGCCATCAGTAGTCATTGAACTTTGAATTTCGATCTGTTCCAAGGTCAGCGATAAAGCGTACGATACTTTCTACTGTTGCATCTACACAGCCACGCTTCCAGTCTGTAGCGATTGTGAGCGTAAACATCTCATACCGTGTTTAACAGTGTATCATTATTTATCATATCATATATGATATTTGGCTTATGATATTTTTAACTTAGAATGGGAAATCACCCCATCATAAGTTGAGGAGCATCTGTATATATTTTTGCTGCTCAGATTGGATGGAGCCAGGTTGAGCTGTTTTTCAGACGATGTGGAGCTGTAATTAAAGCATCTGTAATCTCGTCTAGACCATCTGAATCATAGCCTGTCAGCTTTTTTACAGCATAACTACGTGTTAAATAACCTCTGTAGTGGCAGCAGGGAACGCACCCTTTATGACGGTTTACGTGATGCTTTTATCCAAAACAATTTACACTTTTAAGAGCTGGATGAAAGGTGTTCAGGTCAGATTCTGTGCTCAAGGGCTGTGTTTGTCAACTCTGTCCTTGGGGACCCCGAGACAATGGACTGTCCGGTAGGGAGCTGGGAGGGAGCAACAAAGTGGAGCTTCTGGGGACCTCGAGGTCCGGGTTGAGAAACACTGCTCCAGGGTACAACAGCAGGATTCCTGTTCCCAGCACTGCCCCAGAGCAGTGGGAGATGATGCCTCTTGTGCTGTCTTGCAGGTGCCCAGCAGTCTGGACGTCATGAAGGTCTGCCTGCTCTGTCTGCTCACCGTCCTGCTCCAGCAGGGCTCCCCCAGCCACGTCCACAAGAGCCAGGCCCGTCACGGGCACCCCCACGGCGCGCACATCCACGATAGCCTGCGGATGTCCCAGACAGCGGGATCCAGCGGGCACCCCCACCAGGGCTTGGGCCCCAGTGAGGCTGTCAATGAGCAGAACTTCTACATCCAGCAACTCTTCATTCGCTATGGAAATCAGGACCAGTTGGACTTCAATGGTTTTCAGAGCCTGCTGCTGAGCCTGGGGCTGGGCCAGGTCCGGCTGCTGGGCCTGGAACACGAGAACCTGGGGCACGATCATGTAGCCCATCTGGACATGCTGGATGTCCAGGAGGGCCTCCACACCCACAGCCCGCATGGTGAAGTGCACTCCCTGCCACGCTCCGAGCCAGAACACAACCGCACTACGGCTCAGCCCTCCCCTTGCAGGCCCGGAGAAGCGAGGGCCACCGAAAGCCCGGGTGCCTCACCAGGAGGCGAGTCTGGTCCTGAACTTGAGAGCGAACATCACGGTACACATGAAAATGACGGAGATCAGAGGAGCGACGAGCGAAAAGAGCCAGGACGGCACCCGCATCACCACAGGCATCTTGGGGAGCATCAGGAGCCGGAGGGAGCAGGACTGCAGCCATCTGCCGACCCCCCGGACGCCCAGAGCGGGAGGCCCAAGAAGCCCAACAAGAACAAAGGGCCTCGCACCAAAGCCAGGGGCCTCGGGAGTCAGGAACACGACCACAAACAAAGACAACAGCATGACCCCAAACATAACCCAGACCAAGCTCATGACCACGAGCATGATCACGAACCCAGCCAAGACAGAGACCACATCCAAGACCATAACCACGACCACAGCCATGAACCTAGCCAAGACAGAGACCACATCCAAGACCATAATCATGACCATGACCAAGGCCAAGACAGTCGCCATGACCGTGATGAAGATCACGATCATGTCCACCGGCATAACAAGCGCCACCTTAGCAAGCGGTCAGCCCCTGTCAGGAACATTGAGGCCATCCATAATGAAGACGTCACACACCAGCATGAAGAGGTAGGGGGCGCTACTGGGGTGTGGGGATTTTCTATATCTCCTCTTACGGGCTTGTGAGCATGACGTATTTAAGTACAAGCACAGCCACCGGGCTGAACTTCTCTGTTTTACTGGCTAAGCTCATTAGAAGACTTATCCTGCACCCAAACCCTGACGTCTGTATGCCCTGAGAGTCAGTTTTGCATATCAGAGAAGACCAATCTCCATTTGATTTGCAATTCCTGTGTTCCTGTTGTAAAGGTAGAGCACTACACAAAATCATAAGGAACTGCTTATATTGAAATGTGTGGAAAAAGCTACAGGCACAAAATGAAATCGTTCTAGCGAAATGCCCAGTAGTTAGTTGTAAATGAAATTTGAGACTTATGGTTTTTAGAATGGCTCTGATAATTAGAGCTCAGAACGGTAGCCATGCACTTAGCAGGAATATGAAACAGTAGCAGTCTGGGAGCAGTTAGCATGAGCATTGTTTACACAGTATGTCTGTGAGGCAGATTTCAGACTAATTCTGTCTTATCTGTGGCACATGTGGCATTAAGCAGGGATTTATGGTACAGATTATGAACACGACCTGCTTACGGCACAGCTTATGCACAGTATGGAGTGTTTCCTCCAGGGAGGAGCTGGATGCAAGAGAGAAGCCAGTTCTGCTCTGCCACAGCTCACGGCTGGGATCAAATTTTAATCTTTTGTCTGTGACAGAAGCAAAGCATTTTGCTCGCTGGAAAGCTCTGCTGTTTGTCGTGACCCTCGTTCCCTGTAGGGGGCGTTGCTGTCTTGTCACGTACAGTGGGCGTTTCCGTTGCAGAGCGTCACAGTGTCCCGGTGCGATCGCTTTACACGTGCGGGTTTGCCCGTGTTTGATTGCAAGGATGGTGTTTCCCCACTAAACGCTCACCCTTCGGTTTTCTGATGTTGAGCTGTCACGAGACGCATTGTATCGCTTAAGACGGAGCGGAGACGCCAGGAGGGGTGTGGTGACGCGGACACTGGGGGCACTGGGGACAGCGCTGCCGGTGACGGCGCTGTGCCATCCGCCCTCTGTCCCGCTCCTTTGTTTTCCTGCCAGCATTGTCTTCCCTGATCTCCACTCAGTAATGGCTGCCTTTCATGTTTATTCAGACACCACAAGCAGGACCGGCCCAGATGAATTTCTGGAAGTGCTCCTTTCTGATTGTTCCCCCCCCCCTGCAGTGTCTCAACCTCACACAGCTCCTGTACTACTACGGCCTGAGCCCGGACGCGCTCATCTCCCCTACCCAGTTCTCCTACCTGTGCCCGGCGCTGCTCTACCAGATTGACAGCCGTGTCTGTATCAGGCACTACCACCAGGTGGAGCTCCAGCCCTCGGCCCTGCAGCCGACCCACTCAGGTACTGCCCATTACGATGGTTTAGCTGGTTAACTATCGGGGTGGGAGTTAGCTTATAGTGCATCTAAAGTTAAAATCTTCCCTATTAAATACACTTTAATTTAGTCAGGGATGCACATAACTGGCACGCAAGTACTCATGCGCTGTCTTAAGTGCATTAGTTATGTTATGACAGGAAATAATATTAATATGAATTTGTGCTGCTGCGATTGCAGCACGTATTGCTTTATGAGGCGAATGTGTACTTGCCTGCTAGTTACACGCATCCCTGCCTAGAGCCAAAACCTAATGCATGAGTCCGCTTTACTGGCCCAGAGACCCAAGTATTACCCAATAAATGATAGGGTGTAGCACTCCTTTTCCCCTCTGTCTGAGAAGCTTGGGATGCTCACCTCAGTCTTTGTAATACTTTGGTCGGATAGGTAGGGGGCAGTACTTATGGAAGGTTTCTAATCAACCTGCCGACGGCCTGGTGTTTTACCATTAACAGTTTCATTTACAGTGATGATTATACTGTACATACACTGAGCAGCTGATCATTCCTTCCCATTGTCCAGTAAAGAGGGAAGAGCTTTCTGCCAGTCTGCGTTCTAACACTTGGTTTCTGCCCCAGAACCAAATGAGACCTTCTCTGCGTCTGCCCTCCGTGTTGATTTGCCGGCATTTCTGGTGAATTCCCTCAGATGTAAAGGGCTCCCCCTTGTGTCCGTGAGAGCATGGCGCAGGACAGGCGATGGCGGATAGCAGCAGTGATGTGATCTGAAGGCTGCTTTGGCGGGATTCTTAAAAACCGCATTTCCTGCAATGCAGAACACTGGCTGGAAGTCATCCCCGTGTGGAATAATGGCAGAATTAGCACAGTCTCTCTGACAGGGTCTTGTCAGGCTGCTTTACTTTGTGTATCATGGAACACGCTGTACAGAATGATCAGTAACATTTCCGTCATCTCCCTCTCCCCGCAGTGTGGACATGGGTCTGGGGCTTTGTCTCTATCACCATCATCAGCCTTCTCTCTCTGCTGGGTGTGCTCCTGGTGCCCATCATCAACCAATCCTGCTTCAAGTTCCTGCTCACCTTCCTGGTGGCGCTGGCGGTGGGCACCCTGAGCGGCGACGCACTGCTCCACCTGCTGCCACATGTAGGTACTGCGGCTGGCCGCCACGGAGACGGTCCCATTATTAATCCTGTCTGGCTGTCGAGAGATGCAGTCAGATGGGTGCAGGTGGATTTACAGCTCGACAGGAAATGCTTCTGGTTCCAGAGTCTGCAGTATATCAGCTCGGGTAACAGAAAAAACGTCTTTGTGCCTGGAAATGCTGCAGGAGGGCAAGGCACACATACGTGTAAACCGGAGCACATTCCCACACGGTCACGTGTGCTGAGGCCTTATGGAGTGTCTTCTTTGTACCCGGTCTGTGGTATCCCCTGATGACTCACTGACCCTATATCCCTGTAACTGCAGTCCCAGGGGGAGCACGACCACGACCACAGCGGGGAGGGGGAGGGGGAGGAGGAGGCCGACCTCGCTACCAAGTTCGACGGGGTGTGGAAAGGTCTCACCGCACTGGCCGGGATCTACCTTCTCTTCATCATTGAGCACTGCATCGGCATGTTCAAGCACTACAGGGACCAGCAGGTGAGGCCCGCGGACCGTCACGCCCCGCAACCTCCGTAAAAAGGGGCGCCATTAACAGCCAAACCCAGACGCTGGCTTAAACAGTCTGTATGCTTACCGTCTTACTCGCAGCAGAGCTGGTGCAGCTCCAGCAGGAAGTTGGAGGAGGCCAACATTGGGCGAAAGCTGTCAGACCATCAGATGAACCGGCGCTCCGATGTGGAGTTGATGCACCTGAAGCCGCTGCCTGCTGCCGGTAGAGCCTCCTTCTGTAGTGCTAACGAGCTGTCCAGCTCCCCGCCGGGGTTCCTCCGCTCCTGCCAGCTTCGCTCTGTAGGCCCCCTTATTGTAACCGGCTCGTTTTCCGCACTGCGCGATGGAGAGACGCAGCTCACGGAGGGAGCAGTGACACGGCAGAGACAAACACATGATTTATTAAAGCCGTTTTGTGGGACCTATGAGGGCGAACTGTCAGCGCAGCTCGGTGAGAGATCTCGAACTAGCACAGCGCCCCCTCATGGTAAGAGAGGCTCAGTGAGGATGGCCAGTCGGCATTGCCGCTCTTCTTACCTTGGATCATTACTGCCGTCTCGCCACTCTGACAATGGCTCTGATCCATCTGGGCTCACTAGGGGATGTCTGACTTTCCACCTTGTCCACCCACCTGTTTATCTGCGTCTGTTGACTGAAAATCCAACTAGAATTATGGGGACCCAAGCTTATCTGTAGGCCTACATGGGATAGCCAGGGACCACCTGCTTTAGGACACGCTATAAAATCTGAGATCTGTCGTAAGATTTAAATGATCTAAATACTCTCCTTTTTATCTGTAATAGGAAATAAGACGAGGTCTTTATTTAGTGCTGAGACTGGCTTTGCGTTTTACAGACAGTTGGTGACCGAGACCATGTAAAATGTTCCAACCTCCCCCTCTGATGCATTGGCAGGGGCTGACAGCTCTGCATCATCACTGGGGGACCCGCAGAGCAATCCCAAGACCTCCAGCCCCCAGGAGGAGGAGTCTTCTGTCCGCGAGAGCACCAAGAAGGCCAAGGTTAAGATGCATGGCCACGCCCATGGCCATGGCCACGCCCACGGCCACGCCCACCACTGCCACTCAGACCAGGAAATGAAGGATGCTGGCATAGCGAGCATCGCCTGGATGGTCATCATGGGTGATGGCATGCACAACTTCAGCGACGGGCTGGCCATAGGTGGGAGGGGCCGCCGTTCGCTCAGTGGCTCGGTAGCGGGAGGCGGGATGTCTCACAGGCGCCGTTTCTGATTCCCAGGGGCTGCATTCAGCGCAAATGTGACCGGGGGCATCAGCACTTCCGTGGCTGTGTTCTGCCATGAGCTGCCTCATGAGCTGGGTGAGTGTCACGCCACGGGGTGGCCAGTCAGCTGCGTTTGTGTGTGGACCTTCAGGGGAGGGTGTGGGGTAGGCTCAGTGTTCGGGGTACGCGCTTTGTGGGGGTGGGGTTCACCGTTGATGTGTGATGCATTCTTCACTGTGCATAGTTTTCAGCCAGCAGTCTTGGCTGCTGTGTATTTTACCCTGAACGGAAAACAGGAGAGAACATTGTTTAGTAATAAACTAAATTATCCTGCAAACAAAACTGAATGAGGATCTCCTCCTGTCTTTTTGAAATGCCTGAAAATAAGAACTAAACTTTGTCTGTCTTGGACGCTTTACTTTTCCTGCCATCATTCGGCAGATCCTGCTTGCCTAGCTGTGATAAACCCTCAGAATGTAAAGGATCGTCATTATGGGTTGTACTTACATCTGAGTGTCAGATGATAAATGACCTGCCCCTTCCTTATTAGCTTACAGAACTGCCCAATGATCCATGATCCCCCTGCCGTTTAGTAAACATTCCTCTATTTAATGCGCCTTTTATGGTTAATAATATTCAGCAAGCCAATAATGATCAGCGGCTAGCCTCAGTAGCCAATCCGGTTCCTCCGTTGGAGCCGTTCGCCAATCGGAGTGTGATCGACCCAGGTGGGAGCTTCTGAAATTGACAGATTGGTTTATTAGGCGACAATCTACGCGCTTAGTGCCTTGCGACGCCTCTCGCCTCAGTCGCAGATGGTGTGTTTCGCTTTGTGACGTTGCTCGCGGCCCGGAGGCCTCCACCATCAGGATGGGAGCGACTTGTCAGCTGGCCGATGCGATGATGGGGACGGGGGGGGGAGGCGATAATCACAGGAGTCGTTTTGGGCACCCCCTTCACCCCCAGCTTGTCTAATGAGGCTATTTTGTGACACTCATCACGAGTGACATCTCCTGTCACCGAGGCCGATGCCACGGGGTCCTCAGCCAGACGGCAGGCCTGAGAACGCCTGCCAGATTTAACTCGCAGGAAGTTACACCGGGGTCCTGCCAACACGCTTAACAGTACACCAAAGGATCACATGGTCTTCTGTCAGGGAAAATTACGCAGTTACACACCGTGCCAGCAGAAGGCCGCTCACTGGCACAGACTCTGATCTCGCTGTAAATCACCGCCCACGTCTGTCCATGCACGGCTCTCTGGGGGCGATCATCGGCTGGCCGCTGAATTTCCGGGGAACATCGGCCCGCCATTGCTGTAGTCGAGCACGGAGCCGGCGGCTCTAAACCTGCTTCTTGAGTCATGACCTCCACCGGCCTGCACGCTTTCTGGAAGCGGTTACGCGGGGGCCGGAAGCGGTTACGCGGGGGTCAGACGCGTGCGATTATAGTGCGGTTCACACACTCACGGCTACGTGCCGAGCCGATGGGGAGGCGTTTCCCGTAGCCTGTTCTGATCGGCTGTACCGCTGTCTCCAGGTGTATTGTCGCTGCACGTATGCAGGGTGGATGCAGGCGAGTGTTACAGGCAGACCGGTTTTTGCGTTAGACAGTAGGTTCCTCCCCTGGGTCTGACATTTCCCATTTCATTTAATTGTCTGGTTGAGTTTTGAATTTCAGACTTAACATGACCTCTGTTTCATCCTCCAGTAAACGCATTCAGGTATATTTAGGACAGTTCCCCCATAAAGCTCCTGTGGATCTAGGCCGCCGTCGGGTTTTCTGTGACGTCGTTCGCTGCGCTCCGCAGCCCGGCCGGGTGACCTCGCTGACACTGTCACGGCTCTGCTCTGCCCACAGGGGACTTCGCTGTGCTGCTGAAGGCCGGCATGTCCGTGAAGCAGGCCATCGTCTACAACCTGCTCTCGGCCCTCATGGCCTACGTGGGCATGCTGATCGGCACGGCCGTCGGCCAGTACACCCATAATGTCACCAGCTGGATCTTTGCCATCACCGCTGGGATGTTCCTGTATGTGGCTCTGGTGGACATGGTGAGAAACACCGTCGATTCTAGGATTTTTAACGTTTTGTTTAAGGTGGGGAGATATAAGAAGGGTCATCATTCATACAGAGGAGCCAGTCTTATCACTAGCCAATGATATGATTTGTATCAGTGAGAAACTGGGGAGGGGACACTCCAGGGGCCAATCAGCTTTCAGCTGAAGCCAGTGCCCCTGTGGCCCCACCTCCCTGTGGCCCCACCTCCCTGTGGCCCCACCTCCCTGTAGCCCCACCCCCCTGTGGCTTCACCTCTGATGGTCACGGTGAGAAGGTCCCTACAGCTGTGCCAGCTGCTTTTAATCTGTCCCTCTGGTGGATGTGGTGAGACGCAGCCAGGCTGTATTGTCTGGCCTCCCGAGTAAATTTGATTACTCAAAATAATACTTAAATACATTGTAAATTTGCATTATGGAGTCATGAATCGCCCAGGCTGATGTAGTACTTCACTAAATTATGTCTAATCTTTTTCCCATACATTCTGTGAACACTGACACTTTCCTTATTACAACTACAAAACAAGTTTTACGAGGCTCAAATTGTAAACGGCGAGTTGAAGCAAAGTATCTATAATATAGAGGAGGGTGTGATCTTCTGGAACGCCATGTTGTCAGCCAGCTCTCCACGCTCTGTGTCTCGGGTTCAATCCCACCAGCGATGCATGTTTAGGAACACCGGTCATCCCTGGCCTTGTCTCTACAGCTCCCAGAGATGCTACATGGCGACAGCGAGGACTACAAGCGCTGCCAGATGGGCCACTTCCTGCTGCAGAACCTGGGCATGTTGAGTGGCTTTGCCATCATGCTGCTCATCGCCATATTTGAAGAGCGCATCGTGCTGGACTTCGACCTCTAGATGCGAACTGCCCAACCGCAGTCATTCCTGCTTCATCAAGTGGGGCGAGCTCAGCTTTCCATTCCCATAAGTCTGGGTACATGCTCACAGCCCACCATAACGTCCTCATGGTCCAGGTTAACCTCTCAGAAGATACCTCAGAAGAGGTCTTCATTTGAACCCATCTCTCCCAGCATCAACCAGCCTGTGGCAGTTTCTTGGCCAATTAGAGACTTCAGAATGTCAGCCAGGAAATTCTCCTGTTGCACACTTGAATGTAACAAAGAAGCGATCAGACATTGGTGTTTGTTTTCATTGTAACAGGAAAGCTGCCTTTTATTCCTAAAGCCTTCTCCCAATCCTTGAGGCACGTCCATTTCAGGCTCCAAGAGCGCAAACCCAGCAAGCCAGCGACAGCCGAAGTCTTACGTCTGTGTACTTGTGCTACGTGTGACCGTCGTGTACCTGTGCTGTGTCACGTCCCATGATTGTGAAGTCATTGTGCAACATTGACTTTGCAGGACCATGATGCTGAGCAAGTCATTGTATCTGTTCTTCGCTGTGAAATTCGTTGTACCGTCAAGAAACATCCCGACTCCTGTGCTTCCACCAGTTGGCTCAAGAAGGTTTTGCAGATGTGCTCATCCTCATTGGAGCAGTGAAATGCATATCAGTGTTAAAAGAATGACCCATTAACAAAGTCCTGCATCCACGAGAGGACGGATTTCTCTGATTTCGTCATGTTTGTTTTTGCCATTAGTGTTGAGAGAAGATGAATTGGAACAGCCCTCCACAGAAAGAGAGGAATGAAGGAATGACCTGGAAAAAAAACATTGGTTTCTATTTTGCTACCTGATTGTTGTGCTCTGTAGTCTAATCACTGATCAACTTAAAAAGCATCTGCTTTGTCTAAATTAAGTCAAAGGAATTGTCTTATTTTTCATCATCAGGTGTCTGGCACAAACATGTTTCAGTTCGAGTCATTTAATATGACGGTTTATGCAAAAACGTCTCTGCTCGTCGTCATCTTATATAAAAATGTCGGAAACTTGATTTAGGAAGTAATATCAACTGAAAGGAGGTTATTTTTTCTGCCTGTTTCTTTTGACAGGAATTGTGCTTACACACACTCTTGGTGTTTAAAATGCCGCCCTTTATCTGTCGAAGGACAGCAGAGCGGATTCACTGTGGTGTGATGATGTTTGCCGTCGGACAGGGGGAGGATATGCTTGTGTCATGCTACAAAAAAGTCGTACGGCTCACTGTGACTGTGTGGTGAGATGCACATCTGTGTCGGCCAGCTGGTCCACTTACCCAAGTCTTAACCAGGTCTCTCTCAACCCCCGTCACCTGGGGACATTCAAGGCCTCGTCCCATCAGGCTCTCCAGTCCTGCTGCGTGGATCATGCTTATAAACGGCCTCTGTGGATGCCTGTGTCCCCCATCGAGCTGCACTGCACATCACATGTGAGTCTTTCTGCAGTCGGTATTTGTAAACGTGTCCTGACTTCTACAGATCGGGAGACGACGGACCGTTCAGGATCTGATTTCACACCGAGTTTGTTCCTCACCGTACCCCACAGTTGGCTCACCGAGGATATACAGTAAGCACAAAGGCAATGGGCAGAGAGGTGGGCAGCACATCCATGCCACATTAAATACTGAGAGTATTTATTTCAGTGTGCAAAAACAGGGGTATTAATACTCGCTGTCAACACTGCCAGTTGCAAGGAGGCAGGAATTCGACTAACCAGAGAGCTCCAGAGCACTGCACACTGTGTGTGACGACATCATTTCCAAAACTTTGTTCTATATTACGGACAGATGATTGCACTGTTATGCTAATTTATACAGATGGTGTTTTGCTTCCGCATCCCAAAAAAATACCATCCGCCACAAAAGATCTCTTCTTAATTCCAAATGACGAAATTTTGTACAAGTTTATTTTGCATAATTTTCATAAACCAAAAAATCTAAATGTATTCACTGACATCTTCGCTAGTCCTCTATTGTATATTTCCCAATCAAGACAGAAAAATAAAGTTGTACCCAAAAAATGTAGTGCTATTTGTGTTGTGCTTAATTAAAAAAAAAAAATCTCAGGTGTATAGTATGAAGCACCGGGTGGTTACGTTAAGTTCACGAATACGCTACATTACTTCACAAAAATATAGCTTTTAATGTTACAGCCTCATCCTGGCATTTTCCAGTCACTTATCCTTGAGAGCGTCTCAGTCAGCATTGGGCATCAAGGAGTGTAGTCCATTGGTGAATGTGCATTATGGGTAATTTAGAGAAAGTAAGTAGCCTAATTGCATAGCAAACGCCACACAGAGCAGAGGCACTAATCCCACCCCAACCGTGAAGGTGTGAGGTACCTGCTGCTCACTGATCCTGGTCACTGACACCAGCTTACTTGGTTGTGTTCACTGTCCCAAGCAGGGGACAGTCAATCAGGTCCTAAAATTAAAATGCTAATTGCAGTCCTTCATGTGCAGCCAGCTCTCTATGGAAATGTTGGTCATGCAGGGTTAGTGCCGTGTGGAAACAAGCAAAGTGTTCTGGGTCCACGGCTCTTTCTGTGGAGGGCCCAGCGGTCAATGAACCTTCTCAGACAAGGTATCGACTGGTTGATGAAAGGAAGAAAGGGAGTAGATGAGAAGATGCAGCTTCCTCAGAGTGCTGCCTTTGTACCTCCCCAAGGAAAGGTGCAGGAGCATGCAGGTGATGAAAAGCCTTTTTCAGGGAGGCCAAGTCCACGCCAATACCAATCTGACACTCTCATTATTCCTTTGAAGGTTCATGTCTTTTTGTTTAAAGGTTTTATATAATACTACAGGTACTATTAAATGATAGAGAGCTCATAATATCACGTATAAAACACAATTATAAAAATAGAAAAGTGCATTTCCTGAGGAAAAATCCGTGTATGATTGCTCCGTAGCAGTGACAGGTGCTGTAGGTTAGTGTTTTCTGAAATTTTTGATAGGGTTTCCCATAACTAACTATTTTACTGTAAGAAAATGGCAACCAAAACACCAAGTTGTTGCTATGCTACTCAAGGTGACTTTAATGTGTTGCTAAAGTAGTTTAGGTGGTTGATAGGATGTTGCTATGGTTTTGTTTAGGCTGCTAGAATGTTGCTATACTACCGATAGGTGGTTGCTGTGGTATCTTTGGTGTATGCTAAGGTGTTTGTATCTCAAGGTTGTTGCAACGGTGTTGTTAAGGTAGCTACAGTGGTTGCTAGGGTGTTACTATGGTAGCTTATGCAGTATGCTGGCCGTGTCATTGACAGTGACTAAGTGGGAACCTCTGAAAAATGGATGGAAGTCAACGGGAGGAACAAGTGATGAAAAATGACAAAAGATGAGTCCGAGCCCGTTTGACTTTCAGAGCATGTTGGGAGGTATGGCCAGAGGCTATCACGTTTGGTGGCTGTGGCATATGAGTGAGATGAGTGAGAAGACCCTGAAAAATGAATGGAAGGCAATTGGAAGATGGAGGGATGAGAGAAATGGGGTGAAAGATGAGTCTGGGTCACTTTCTTTTTGTCTGGATTTTTGTATGACCTGCACCCTGAAGTAGCCAATGGAGTTTGGTGGCAACGATGTGCAAAGTGACCAAGTGGCAAAAAATGACACAATCTGGAGAAACGGGTACATGTATCCAAAAGGTGTATATCAAGCATGCCTGTTGGGTATAGGACAGATGAGGGGAAAGCTGATTTGGGGCTGACCTCAAAAGCTGTAGGATCAGAGGATTCCCAAATTCCAGGCTGAACAAGAATAATAAGAAAATTATTAAAAGCAATGGATAACAATCGTGTGTTTACACCACAATCACACTAATTATTATTTATAATGAAGCGTATATTTAGAATGTTCTCCCAGTGTTCCTCTGGGTTTCCTCCAGGTACTCTGGGTTCCTCCCACTGTCACTAAATTGTCCATAGTGTGTGATGTCTGACTATTTCATCTTCCTCATGCTCTCTGCTTCCTGGGATTGGCTCCAAGCTCCATGTGACTCTGCACTGAGGCAGTATGGGAGATGTGTGAGGTGATGCCTCATGATTTCAGTACAGCACTCCCTTTATCAAGATAAAAGATGGTGAATTTCACTGAACCCTCCAGAACCCTAATACATTTTTCGTAGAAACTAGCAGTCTTAATTTGCATGAACTGAGCAAATATGGAGGAATCAGTGTGACTGAGGTCTGAGAAAGCAGAGGGAGACGGAGCCCCTACTGTCAAAGGATGGTTCATAAAATTAAAGTTCTCCAGGCCAAGGGGCAGTTGTTCAGTTTCGTACCAGTGGGTGTCACTGTTGGGTGACCTACGGCTGTAATGCATTCTAAAACAACAGGGTGGAAGAGAGGTAAGAAACAGCAGACAGAGCAAGTCATGTTTGTACTGTGAGCCTCCAGTATTTTTCACGGCTGGAAGTCTCCTTCTGTAACCACAGTGTCCATTTTGTAGAAGGTAAATCAATACCTACCTGGAGAGATAAAGGTATCCAGCATCAAATCAGTTACAGTTTTATAAGACTATTTTTAAGGGCAGTGGGTGTCCATGTGGTTAAGAGAGTGTGTGTACGTCTGTAAAGATATTTTTCTGGAGACATTTGTAGTTTTCTGTACGTTTTCAGTATTTACAGATACACAATAAGCTAAAACATTATGACCACCCCCACGTGAAGCGAATAATGTTGACGATCTCATAAAAATGTGTGAAGGTCTGCGATTTATTACATGAGTCAGCATGTTGAATGCAGAAGAAATGGGCAGGGATAAAGATGTGAGCGACTGAGAAGAGCCGAATTGTTTAGGCCAGAAAACTCAGTCAGAGCAGCTCAAAAACAGCAAAGCTTCTTGGGTGCTGATGGTTGACCATAGTGAGTACCTACTGACAGTGGGCTGAGGAGGGAAAACCGTGATCCATGGACAGTGTCTGACGGCCAAGACTCCTTGATTTTAAACATGACGACTGTCCCGCGTGGTACGAGCCAGCAGAAATGCTACAGTAGCAGAAATTGCAGATAATTTTGATGATGATCACAGGAGTAATGCGTCATGATACAAAGTGCATCACACCCTGCTGTATATGGGGCTGTTAGTCGCAGATCGGACTCGTCGGTCCAATGCATCTCACAGATGTTTGATGTACTGTGCTGTCTTCATGATGCAGCATAAAACGAGATTCATCGGACCAGGTGACCTTCTTCCATCGCTCGTTTGCCCATTACTAATTTTCCCCATTGTAGGTGTTTTCCACAGTGGATGGATCAGCACTCTGACTGGCCAGCTACGTACCCCACAAGCCTTATCTTCTCAGTGATACTCTGACCCAGTCATCTGACCATAATGATTTAGCCCTTGTCAGAGTCACTCAGATCTTTATCTCTACCCATTTCTTCTGCATTCAGCATCTTGATTTCTAGTTCCAAATGTTAGGTTACTGTCTAATACACCCCAGAGCTTGACATGACCATGTGTGGGTTGTCGTGTTTTGGCTAATCGGCATATATGCAGCACAAGAAAACTAGTAGAAATGTGTTGTGCTTTTTGTTGTCCACTGTTTTATGATTCATTATTTATTTTGCGTTTTCACATGAGTACTTGTCCATTGTGTATGTTTTCATATTCTGCACAGTTAGATGAAGCAGTTCCATTGGCTAACAAGGATTCTCCCCGCAGGCTGTACACCACCAATCAAACGGTTTCACACACCGCATGTTTTTATCACTTTTCCATTCATTTCATAAACCGCATATTTTTTATTCTTGTTAAGCACTGGAAAGTTGAGTGAACAACTATAAATGAAAATTTAAGCCAAAATGTATGTAACAGTGCATGTCTGACATCCTATTAATTGGTTGTGTGGTGATGGCATAGTCAAATTCTAGGCTGTCCTTTAACTTTAAACGCACTAGTTGACTAGTTTCCTCCCCTGAAACAGAACCTTATTTAATGTCCAGTATAGGAAGAATGCCTCAAATTTTCTCTGCTGTTATAACTGCTAGAGGAGGTTACTTTGATGAATCAAACACATAATATTTTCTTACTAATAAAGGTACTCAAATGGTGAACATACTGTAAATGTATGTGTTAGCAAAGAATATTGAGTGTATTTTTAGTAAATTTTAAGTGAGTAACATGTAGAAAATCTTAGTGTGCGAAAAAACCTTGGACTGGTAGCGTATGTCTTTGCATGTTCTCTCCGTGTCATTGTGAGGTTTCCTATAGGTTCACCTGACAGCCTGGAATTATGCTAAGGTGAACTGAAGTTGCCAAATTGCCCATAGGCATGCATATGTCAGTGAATGGTGCGAGAGTGTGATTGTGCCCTATGATGGGTTGGCACCTCATCCTGGGTTGTTCCCTGCCTTGTGCCCTGTGACGGGTTGGCGCCCCATCCTGGGTTGTTCCCTGCCTTGTGCCCTGTGACGGGTTGGCGCCCCATCCTGGGTTAATCCCTGCCTTGTGCCTTGTGTCGATAGCTTCCAGGATAGGCTCTCGACCCCCATGACCCTGCATAGGAAAAGCGGGTAAGGAAGATGTCTATGCGTAGATGTTCCATGGGTATGTCAGAGAAAACAGCATCTCCACTCTGCATACCTTTAATCAGGCACAAGGAGCTGCCTGCCATCTGTCATTGAGTGTGAGCTTCACAGTGCTGCCTTTCTCGTACCCGACGTAGCGTATGCAGTCTGCTCAGGGACGAGGGACTTCTGCATGCAGCAGAACAGAGAGAGTTCTTACGGAGTAACAGCACCAGCTTCCCATCACCTTGGTGATACTATCACACAGACGTCTCACTTCCAAGGTTACTTAATGGCTTCTCCGATTGGGAGAAAAATAAGCCATTTCAGATATAGGATGTGACCCCCCAAAGTCTCGCGCTTCCTCAAACCCACCCAGATACAGTTGGCCTATAGTCAGGAATAAACCCTACCAATGGGGACAGGGGGGTCCCCCTCAGTAGATTTTGCCAACTGGGGGTGTTCAAACAAATTTCAGGTGTTCAAACCCCATAATTTTACTATCTGTCTACATGCCTGAG